ATATAATATTCTGCATTTCAAGCTCAGGGATTAGCACTTCTACACACTTATTAAATCCATCTATAATTGTATCATTTGTTTGTATATCCTTGTCAATATAAAACAAAGCTGGGTTAAAAAAATAACCAGATGCATGCACTGGCCGATGTAGTTGCTTATCCCACTTCTCATCAATAATCTTCCGAACAGGCTTGTAGCGGGTTTCTTCATTATTGAAATTTTGGGCTATCTCTCTTTTGCATTTCTTCATAGCATCATATATATAGCCCATAGAAGGCTTGTCACTATCAACCATGCGAAGGACTTTGATAAGAGGAAAAAATACCTTAAGTGCGTCATTCATCCCTCACCAAAAAGCCTTAAAAAGTGAATATCTCTCACCTTCTTCCCAACCTGAGCCTTAGACCACTTGCATGCTCTCCACTCATCCGAGATAAACATTTGCCTCAACTGCACTTTCCTCGAATGTATGCTATCTAGGCATAATAACCAGGTCGCAAATCTAGTGACCCCAGGCCTCACAATCTCTTCTTCTTTGTAAAGGTACGCATCATGCTGAGGGTGATATGGTGGCTACAAATGAAATTCGTATCATACTTGGCCTTCTTCATTGCACCTGATATCTCAGTTAACCCGCCAAGAGCCTCAAGCATGAGGTCTATACAATGTGCTGCACATGGTGTCCAAAAGATTCTAAGATAAGCTATGCGCAACAAAGTAGTGCAGCAACATTAGGAGCAGCATTGTTTGTGACAACCTGTACAACAAGATGCTTCCCAACCTCATTGATTCCCTTCTCCATCACTTGAAATATGTAATGGGCATCATGGATATGATCAGAGGCATCAATAGACGTCAAAAAAACAATCCCTACTGGACAATTCAAAAGCAAATTCATTTGACTTCTTCTCTTTCTATCAGTCCAACCATCAGTCATAAGAGAAACCCCATACTGAGCCCATGCATCTTTCTTAAGTTCTACAGCTTCCTTCGTGGCACTCAATGCCTTTTTAAAAAAGGATTTGAAAGCTCATATGGGGTTGGGGGTTTCATCTTAGGGCCAAATTGGCCAATTGCCTCTACTGCAGCAGAAAAGCTGCTCAAGCGAGCGGTATTGAAAGGAATGCCTACCTCATAAAAGCATGTAGCCAAATAATACGTAGCTCTATCTCTCTCTTCCTTCTTGATTCTATTTTCAATGGTGGTGTGCTTTTTTGTTTTCTCTCCTGCAATCTCAGGGTCAGGCCGAGGTAAGAAACTATCCATAGGACCTCTAACCCGAGGCTTCTTAGTCCCAAAACCAGAAGCAATTACAACTCCCTTCCCCTTTCCCCTAATAATGGATTGCTCAACCTCTTGACGTCCCTCCCCAATCCTTTCCTCATCACTATCATCATCATCAAAATTGACTCGAACTCCAGATTCAATCTCTGCTATAGAGGTAAATCTCTCATCTTTTTTCATTTTCTCCAAGTTCATAAAATTTTTTATTTCCTCTTTAACAGCATCAGGAGTCTTTTTACATGGGGCAACACCCCCTCTGATACTGGCAAGATGTTTCTTGAACTGGTTTATGCCCTCTTTTGTATCTTTTTCACAAAAATTGCATCTTATGAAATTTTTAACGTTAGGATTTGAGTTATAGCCATATTTCCAACTAGGATCACCACTCCCATTAGATCCCGAAGTAGACATCTAAAAAATAATACCAATTACTAAAGCAATAAAAAAATCACTTCCTTTGAGTTTGATTGCTCAATCTTCAAACTTCCACCTCAAAGATGTTTCTAAATACTGAAAATATTCTAAAACACCCCCTAATAATTTTGCAAAACATCACAAAGTAAATATAATACCAATGGCTGATGTTTTGATCAATTTTGGTTAACTTTGAGTAACCATTCGATATTAGAAAATTCACCACAATCTAGTTTTTTGGTGGTTTTCTTTATCGAAATTTGGCTCAAACAAGGTTTAGGTTTCAAATGAACCTAAAACCCTAATTTTTGGGCCTTAAAAACAAAAAAAATGATGTAAAATGCCCTCATGAATTTTTTTTTCACCCCTGGTCGGCCGCCTAGGCAGGTTCCGTATCGCCTAGGCGTCCACCCAGGGATTGATTGCCCAGATTGGCCGCCTATGCCTGGGCGATGAGCCCAAGCCTTTCGGATCGCCTAGGCGCTGGGCGGGCCGCTTTTTGAATCATTGCCCTCGCGATAAATCGAGTTGCACGATCAATTATGTATGCCAATCCTATGTATAATGAGCAAATTTTCATGCAAGAGCCACGTCCTGAGGAACACCCACATGATCTCGGTACCAAGTTCAATCTTCCTGAGTTTCATAAGGAGCTCAAGAAAGAAATCAGGATCATGATTGATATCCCAAAGTTCCAATATAAGTTGCCTATAAAGTATTTAATAATTTTAATTAATTGGTTCGTTAAAGAAGATAAGGTACTCAAGCAAATGATAGGACTTCATCACCAACTATTTAAGTGGCCTTTGAAGGATGTAATGAATACAACGAGCTCAAGGTCGAGCTTCTCCCAACCCTGGGAGAATGATGTAATGGACTTAATAGTTTTTTATATTTTACTATTTTTTTAAATGCTAAAATTAAGTTTTAAGTTATATGGTCTTTTATTTATTTTAGTTAGGTATTTGTGTCTTTTTTTTTGTTGTAAAGAATTTAGGGGTAGATTTGGAAGTTTAATATCTATAAGACAGGGGTTAGGATTTATTACTAATAGGTTTTCTTTGGGGGGCAAGTTAGGTTTAGGGGTTTTCTTCTATGAATATGTAAATGTTTGACTCAATTTTTGGTCCTGTAGAAAGATCTTCTTGGGATGGACACCCTTGCAAACCTTGAGAGAGGATATATTCTTTTATTTGATGATCCTTAATTCTTTATGTCCACAGTGAGGTAACTGGTAAAGCTTGTGCATTTATTAGGGAGCAAATGCAAGGGATTAGTGCCAAGAATGTTGAGGGTTGCTGTTGTAATGTGCCCGTAGGATTTTCCTTTTTGCTATTGTTAATAATGGTCTCTACTTTTGTCCCTAATGTTCTTTTAATTATTTCAGCATCAATTTCATTATTAATATGGCAAAGGTTGCGTCGTCCTTTTATTTATTGGCATTTGCAGCAATCTAGTCTTATGAACTCTAACCAGTGTTAATTGTCTAGCACTATTCGAAACTTGTTTGAGCAGTTTATTATGGTCAAAGTTGCTCAAACAAAGTGGGTTATTTATATTGATTCATGAAGGTCCCATAATGCAACTAATACTATTTAGACTGTAAAATTTAGATTAATGTTTATGATTACATGCACTCTATTTAATGTACTATCTCCTGTTCTTTTAGGTGGACTTATCAATTGATCAATCATACATTTACTATACTGGATTTAATGGAACTGACAGTGATCCTCAGGTATACAGTTACTAAAGGTGGACGGATTTGTTATCATATAAAGGCCTACATTTTTAATGTTTTGATTCACATGGATTGAAAGCATCTAGTACTGCATCACAAGTATTGATTTAAAAGTTTATTTTGTTAAGGCCTCTGGAGCATATATCTTCCGCCCAAATGGCACATTTCCAGCTACATCCTTCCAGCAGGTATGTTGCCTTCTTAAATGGAGAATTTGCATCATTTAATAGTAGCATTATGGAACTGAAATTTTTTTACATGAATAATTTGTAGGATTCATCAATTATTGTTTCCTTATTAGCATGAGATAAATAAATTTAGATTACTCTTTTCCTATTCCAGGTGCCTCTGACGGTTTTTCGTGGTCCTGTTTTTGATGAAGTCCATCAAGAATTCAGTCCGTGGATATATCAGGTTCTTCACCCCGTTTACATCTCATGAACGTTAGTATGTATATATTCAGTTCTTATTTCTGAGAAAATTGGAGGGTGAACTAGTTCTCTTTTTGTGGTAAGTTGTATATGTCCATCCATTGGATAGGAATGATGGGGATGACAAGGTAGACAACGAACATCTTACCTTTTTGTGGGTGTCTAATGGTCAAAGTACAATTAGATCCAGGAATACCAAGAATTAGGTGACATGAAATGATCAGTATTTTAGAACATAAAAAATTTTCACCCAGGAGTTTACATTGACAACTTGCCAAAAAGGTTCTATTTTTCTCAGACCAAGAAGGTTAAAAAGAGGGATTAGAGTTTTTACTGAAAAGAGAAATATTTGGGCTCTCGTCTGTACAAAATGAATTATATAACCAACAAAAAGGATCCGAAACTGTTTTTATATGGCTTGTAATGGCATTGAGTCTGAACTGTAATTGTACGGAGGATGGAGATGCTGGTTCAAATTTATTTCGAGGTTGGATATAAATTTGTTTCATTCTAAACCTTCTTTGCTTAGTTCATCAGTTTGAGCCGCTTGCACTGTTTTAAGGGCCTGGATCAATAGGATGTGCTTCAGATGTGTGAGTTTCGGTACAGGTGGTATGTTATGGGTTTCAAATGTTTATAGCAATTTGGTATTAGATATTTGAGGTAATATAGGTCTGTAACATAGTTGTGGAAACCTTGGGGTTAAGGCCAAGGTCCCACCTTAGGAACTCAATCCCATGGTTCCTTTGAGGGATCTTAGAGGGAGCCGGATTTAGAGAAATAGGGATCTCTCTCCCTATAAAATGGGATCTTGGTCTACATGTTTGTAGGATCCCTCCAAGGAGAGGAGATATACCATTAATGAACAATTGGTCAACTCCTTGGTATTATAGATTTATTTCTTTAGAATATGTTTAACTATGGTGCATATCACATTGTGGTATATTAGAATTGTAGTATTAAAAAACTATATGTTAATATCATAGTAAGCCAATTTACGATATTATTAAATTGTGTTATTGTAGTAAATTGGAGTACTATAACTACGACATTGGTAATAAGCTAAGGTGTATGATACGAGATTGAACAAGCATTAGCTTGTTCCTAATTTTATCATATACTATTAATTGATCTTGTTTTATGACCCTCCACGTCAAAACCTCGATCCCAGTGACATGGGATCTCGCTCCCAGGTGTCCTAGGATCTAGCTTCTTAACATGTTGAATGTACAGACACCGATGCTAACCCTAGGGAGCTTCCACCCTCAGGGGGTTTGGTGTTCCCCGAACTGATCCCACTCCTGAACCCGCACCCACCTCCAACAACTATGGTCTGTAATCTAATCAATACGGTTTTGATTTGTTTTCTATCTGATGTCAAAAGGCCTACTTACACAAAAAGTAAAGAAAAATTTAATGCTATAAGTCATATATCTGATTTCGGACGGGATACTGTTGCCAAAACAGTAGAAATATTTGGTTCCTTGAACATGCTTTGAGTATGTCAGAAAAAAAAAACAGCACGCTGTTAGTGTGTCACTAAAGCAATAGAAATGCTTCTTAAGATAAAGCTCTCCCGACAAGACCCTTTAGAGCACGTTATCCTCGATTGTTGTTCCTTCAGAAAACAATATCAGGGGTAAATACACATGAAATAAGAGTTCGACACATCTTAGGAACAAAGAAAACCTCTGATAAATCGATAGAACCACTGGAGGAGTGAAGTATGATACTTCCTACATGAGTGATATTTTGCAATAGAGTCATTACCGGTGTTAGGAATTAGGGATGAGAACATACTGCTATCACCTGAAACATGATTTGCAGCACCATTGTGCACAATCTGTCTCAATTGGTGATGTGAGTTCTCCAAAGAAATGACTGAGTGCCGCAACATTACTTTCAACTGGCTGGGTTTATAACGATCAAAGCACTTAATGGTGTATGTTTATTCCCACATATATGGCAAACAACACCACCATTTGAAGAGACAAATGATTCCAGCTTGTACTAATATTTGAATTATTGTTTGACAATAAAATAGGATGAGAATCAGTAGTAGAAGACTCTTTCAATGAGGCTTTGAGGTTGAATAACGCTTTATGTTGCACCAATAAAGGCCGCAATTCACTAAGTGAGGGAAATGGAGTCTTCTTTCGTCACAGAGGAAACAAACACTCTATAATCATCCCCTAAACCGCTCAAAACATAATAGACCTTGTCCCTTTCACTTAGAGGATCTTGCACTACAGCAAGCTGATCACATGGGGTTTTATCTTGTGATAGAATTTCGAGACTGGCATATTATTTCTTTTACAAGCCATGAAGGCCTTCCCATACTGCTGCAACAGTTGGTAAATTAATTACTTGAGGAATAAGTTCCTTTGAAAAGGAGGGAACATATCTAACCAATGAGGTTCTGGTCCTTAGATATCCAATCATCAAAAGCAGGGTTGCGTTAAACAACTTTCTTAGTTGTTCCATCGTCACTAATCTCTTCTTTTGTAAGAAGCTCATTTGGAGGCTTTGATGAACCATCAATGTGCCAGAATAACCACTGACCTCTTATATAAGTTAGAACTAAATCTTTCCAAGTAAAATAGTTTGATGCATTGAGTTTAACAAGTATGTATTGAGGATTAGGAAGACCACTAGAAGTAGATGGGCAAGATAAAGCCATTGTTAATGGAATAAGAAAGAGCAAAAGAGCAAGTGATTTCAAGGAAGAAGATAAAAGGGAAAGAAACAGGAAGTCAAGTTTTGATGAGCGAGAGAGATAAAAGCCGTCAGGGTTTTGGACTAGATGTCAAGAACTGAAAGCATAACAACAGAGAGGATTTTTTTAAGAGAAAGAAACAGGTTATGAAGAGCAGTATTATAGATTTCAAACAAGATTTAGGGTTTTATATTGAATGAAGAAGAATCAAGAGTTCTGTGCCTGAAATATGAGGCTTTGAAAGAAGAACAGCAGCATGAACTGTATCTATGAACAATAGCCTGAACAATAGCATTAACAGTAGCATGAATATTAGCGTGAACAATAGGTGCCCCTAATATGGAGGAAATATGAGAGAAAAAGATGAGGGTTTAGGAAAGGAGGATGAGAATGATGAAAGAGGGTAAAGATGAAAAAAAAAAGATTAGGATTTAGAAAAGAAAGGGAGTGAGTATTCAAGTAGAAGGAAATATGGGTTTACCTTGATTGGAGTTGATCACACCAAGACATATTCAAACCTCGCTCTAATACCATGAAAAACATAGAGAAGAGAGAAAAGAGACACACACTATTCTACCATGAAAACACCCACCAGGGCACAGGCCTAATTCTTGTATTATAGTATATATAATGTTACATCTTGAGTATGGACAGATTTGTCTTTATATATTACAACAAATGACTTTACAACATAAACCACTTAAAATACACACTAATTACAAATAAAAGGCTCTTCATAGCATTCTAACATTTCTACCTTACAATTTACTTGATGTGATTCAAATTTTAATATGAGCATATTGACTACCTCATTCTGGATATTCCTTTATGTTGAAAGAAGCAAAGATTCCATGAAAATCATAACCAAATAGTTGTCTGGCTTAAGAGAGATCATAGTGGCCACTATTTTTGAGTATTTTTCCCGTTTGTGACATTGTCTTTAACCATGGAAACCATTGAAATAAATGGATTCACGTAACACTAAGTGGCGTTTGGTCCACTGGCAGAGGTTCAATCAAGTCTAATTTAATGCTGGTTGAGTCATAATTTTACTATCCCATTCTCGTTCATCTTAAATTATTAACACTCCCAACAAGATCTGTTTTCAATTTGCTATCTTTCGATATGATTTCTGCATGTTTTATTTCTTCTCGATCTAATAATAATCGCAATGTGCAGATAACAAGGGTCTACAAGAATAAGGAATATGCAGAAGTCGAATTTATTGTAAGCATACTTTCTTTCTTAAATTATGAAAATACAGGTCATGATTTTCTATGCAAGATGTGCAATCTTTGGGATCATCAGTCAGAAGCATTTATGAGGTTGTTCAGTCAGCAAAATCCTCCTATAGAGTTGGTTATAATTTTATCTCTGAATTGCCTTCTGGTTTTTAAACAGGTCGGGCCAATACCTGTTGATGACGGATTTGGCAAGGAAGTTGCCACTCAGATTGTTACTGCCATGATGACAAATAAAACATTCTATACAGATTCCAATGGACGAGATTTTCTTAAAAGGGTACTGCATGATGGTTTATTTTCGTAGTAATATATTGAAAACTGAATCGATGTAGAGCTTTTGTTGCATTGATGTAATATGACAGCAGAATGTTTACTTTTGACCTCACAATAATTTGTATTACAAATTCCTAATTATGGCATTTTTCTTCAATTGTCATATGCAAATTATTGATCCTTGATTTCTTTATAAAGCTGCATGGACATTCCTATGGATCATTGTGTTAGAAACAGCTAAACGCCACATAGCATTTGAGCTATATATATGACTGTGCGAGTAATCGAAGTTCTTTACAGTTCACATCTGTTTCAATTTTTCCTAATTACAGCATTTGTATTTGAAACTGCTACAAGTTTCAGAATCGTGACTTCTTTATACTGCCGTACATTCATATTCATATATTGTTTTGAAGCGAAATACATATTTAAATATTATTGTGCTAGAAATGTTTAAATTCACATGTCATTCAATTTTCATGTAGCAGTGCAAGCAGTCAGAGTTCTCCATATTTGTTGGCACTATTATGATGCAGTTCATGAGTTTAGTTTATTCTTGAGGAATACCTTGTTAAGAAACTTTACCCCGCCCCCTCCCCCCCACCCCCTCCTCTCTCTCTCTGTCACACACATATACCTCTTTTGGAAGGAAAGTTATCTGTTTTGGACCCCTTGGCTGTATGGTCCCCGTGGCATTTCTACAAGCCTTCTTCATAAAATTTACTAATCTTTTTCTAGTTGTTCTTTGATGATTTACATTTTTCTGATAAATTATTTGACAGATTTTTGAGATTGGTGTAATTCCTTGGATGTGCTTGATTATATTTGCTTTATGAAATCTGTAGTTTACGTTGGATATGGGTTGGGTATGACAGAGAATAAATGGAAGGAAATGAACTGGCCAATATTCTTTTATCAGGGTCAATATTTCTGAGTGATCTTCACCACAGTGGTTGGAGGTTTAGTTGCAAGCATCGCCAAATATCGAACTATGAAAAAATCTCCAAGAAATAGAGAAATATGCAAGATGCAGTGTCGTGGAACAAAAATTAAAAATGGTTACTACCCAAAAAGAAAATAACTTAAGTTTTATGTTACTACAAGAGCTTGTAGGATGTGATCAGGCCTATAAACACGAGAAATTAGTTATGTTTGAATGTCATGTCAAATATGCAAAACTAGGACATTATACTGGTGTTCTGACAGCTCCTGTTCTGACCTGGATAATGGATTCTCTGCATACTTACCTGTTTACACATGCTTGGCTATAATGTAATGCATGTTAACCTCTTGTTTCATTAAGCAAGGAAGACCTATAAGTGATAAATAGTTTTCAACTTGTCATGTGCACAGAATGCCATGGGCTTTGTTACATGTTGTTAGACCGGTAGGTGCTTTAACATGGGGAAGTCTATAAGAAATTAAGTGATGTTCTGAATATTTTTAATGTCTTAGGATTCACCATGGTAGAAAATCAATATTTCCTTAGCATATATATATTCCTTTACAATTGATTCTTGCAATACCGGGAAGAATATAATCCCATTGCGACGTCCCAATTGCAGATATATCGGTTTTTAAAATAACTTTTGACTGACTGTTAGCAAACCTTACTCTCAGATATATGTGACATAGGAAACTGAAGCTTGCTAATGTTGCCAGGTCTAATAGATTTGTAAATTCAGATATGACTGGTATGAAGAAATTCTTATCCTGCATATAGATAGACATAGATTTTGTGTTCCTTTTTTGGGTAGTTCAGCTGTAGTATTCAAACTTGGGATGCAGTGTTGCAATCGTCAACATCTTAAACAATCTATCCCAAACCCCAATCGTGTTTTTACGTAGAGATCATTTTCTCTTTGTCAATGGCTTCTTGTGTGGAAACAGCAGTCAGGTATTGCAGGTTAATAACTGGGATCCAATATGGATTTTCAATTTCTTCCTGGACTCACTTTTTCAAACTAGAAAAAAATCCCCTGAACTCAAATGAGTTTGTCTTTCATGTTTTGAGTAAATAATGAGTGTTAACGTGAAACACTTTTAGGTACAAAATTGGAGGGTACGTTAGCAGCGCTATTTATACAGTGTTTCCTGCATAACATTGCATTTAGCTTAGCTTTTTATTTTTTATTGATTGAGTTATTTGATTTGATTCTTGAGGTGATGGTATATATTCATTGTCATGTGGAGCATTCACATTTATTAGCAATACCTTTCTGGCTTTCAGATTCGAGATTATAGATCTGACTGGGATCTCCAGGTGAATCAACCAATTGCTGGAAATTATTATCCTGTAAGTCTGTTTCCATGTTTAGAAAGCCCTCAATTACCATCACGATGTTTAATTTTTCTCCATTTTTTCTTGTATTTCAATTTTGCATTTGCTGTATCTTAAAAATCTGGTGAATCCATGAACAAGTTCTATCTTAATGTTGCTGTGAACCTCTTTAAATAGCAATCTATTCTCATTATTATGCTTTGTTAGGGAATTCTTGGAACCAATATTTGTAGTAGAGTTGTATGGTTGTGAAAAGGTATTTAAGGATCATTTGGTTTTGTATATTTGATGCCTCTCCACAACTCATTACTCTAGGCAACAACAGTTGCCCTATAACAGTTCAGTTATATATTTTGGACTTCATTAAAGAAATACTCAAATTTGATTTTAAAATGGGATATTGTCCTTAGTTATTCACATCACAATCAATTTACACAATGTAGATTAATCTTGGGATATATGTGGAAGACAACAAGATGGAGTTTTCAGTGTTGGTTGATCGGGCAGTGGGAGGATCAAGCACAAAGGATGGCCAAATTGAATTGATGCCTCACAGGTTACTTCCTCCTTTGAAAGTGCTACAGATGTCACCCATTATTACAATTGAAAAGCGACCCATATTCCAGTGGAATATGTATACAGAACTCCAGAAGGGAATTCACTATCTATTTTTGATGATGCGGAGATTAACTGCACCTGGGTGAATGTCTCAGTTTCCCATGCTGCTGTTTTTCTCCAATGAATATCAGCAGGATTGGATGGTTGATACCCTATGGAGTACCTTGTACCATTCTCCATCACCATATGGCTCTCTATATATATTACTCTTTAGTAATAATTGACTTTCATATCAGTATTAACCAATACTCCTGAGTTTTGAATTTGGTTTTCCTCTTCTTTTATAGGAGGCTGCTGCATGATGATTCAAGAGGGGTTGGGGAGGCACTTGATGAAGTTGTTTGTGTCCTCGACAAATGTGAAGGCTTGAGAGTAAGTTCTTCTACTGCATTTCCTGCGTAATACGTCACTTGTGGCACTTATATCTTTTATAGATTTTGAAGAGCATTTTTATAAGTGATAAAAGTAACGAAATCTTTTTCACTTTAGAACTCCTTTAGCATGTTTCATTGTTCTTAATGGATGATTTTGTGAGACTGAACGTATGATATGCTTGATTTGTTAGATTGAAGGTATAATCTGTGGCGCTTGAATTACATCAAGTTTCCATTTGCAGAAACATTTTCTCATTTATTTACATTCTGGAAAAGGTTACATAGCATATGGAGGCCTAAATGGCATACCTGATAAGAACACGGCATTTGGACTTTCTCTCTCTCTCACTCTCTCTCCCTCTCTCATGATGATGATGGTGATAATTGTTTTTTTCTTATGGGATTGTATACTATGAGACCATTTATCTTTGTTATAAGGCGTTCACAATTGTTCACAATTGTTCCTATCCATTAGATGTCAAATTGGATGGCTCGGGTTGTCCACAAAGTTCAAGATTTTTTTATTATTTCTTTTGGAGCTTTGGATCTAGGCAATGACACTCTCACAACCACCCGATTTGAAATTTGGCAGACAAGAGTGATTGTAACCTCCTTGTATTAATAGTAAATAGTCTCTTTGTATACTTTTCTTTTTCTTATCTCTCTCACGATAGTCTTAATGGTAGTTTTTCTTATAATCCTAGTGAGCCATTGTTGTTTGTCACAAGTTGGACTCATTTATTGATACTAACCTGCACACATCTGCAATTTGATTGGATGCGTTGCATATCCAGTCTAAAATTCAAATTATTTGCTTGCTTTGCATCTTTACTTTGATATTGTTCGGCATATATGTTGACAGGTCCAGGGGAAATTTTATCTTCGAATTGATCCTCTTGGAGAAGGTGCCCAGTGGCGGCGATCTATGGGTCAGGAAATATACTCTCCTCTCCTCCTCGCATTTGCTGAACAGGTGCCAAACCTTCGTTTTTAGTTTGACTTATTATTTACGCTTTCAGTGGGGGATGCTTCTCAAATGGTACTAGTCGCTTTTTACAGGATGGCAATAACTGGACCAGTTCTCATGTACCAACCTATTCAGCAATGGATGCCTCCTATAGCTTGCCTGATAATGTTGCAATGATTACGCTCGAGGTACTTGGAAGTTACTTATCTTTGATGAGGAAAAGTTTGAACTTTAATGGAGTCGTAAATTATGAAAAATTAGTATAGTTTGTTGATATCTAAGAATGACTTGTATATATTTGTAAAGTTTTGAATTTAGTTTACATTTTCAATCTCTATTTTTGTTGGCTAGATTTACATTTCCAATACCTAGCATTGTATTCATATCAAACTTCTGTCATTTGTTGTGAAGAATGTCTTATTTTGTGCTTTGTATGATTGATATGATGATTTTCTGAAGTGAGAAAAACTATTATCAGAATCTCGAAGACCATGTTAGTGTCGCAGAACAAAAGATGGATTAATTCATCAGTCATTATTTTGATATAGTCCAGTCAAAAGAGAATGAAATGTCAAAAGTAACACTCCTAAATACTTCTGCAGGAGCTCGAAGATGGAAGTGTTCTCCTTCGGTTAGCCCATTTATATGAGGTCTTCTTTTTCCCTCCTTTTTACCTGGTTTGAATATCATATTCCCTGTAATGTACTCTCTATGGATCAGATTTATGCAAAGAGAGAGAGAGAGAGAGAGAGAGTTTTCCTACATGAGGCTAATACGTGATTATAATGTTTGTTCCCTTATCAATGTATCATTCCTAAATACTTGTACTTTGCATGCTTTTTATTGTGTTTTCAGGCAGGAGAGGATAAGGATCTTTCAGTACTGGCAAAAGTTGAGCTAAAGAAGCTATTCCCAAATAAGAAAGTAAGAAAAAGAAGAAACTAAACCCATGGAGAAGAATTCAGCTAAGTTGTTCCTGATAGTGCTTTTTATCGTTCCTGATTGTGCCTTTTATTGTTATTACAGATAAGCAAGATAACTGAGATGAGCCTCTCTGCAAATCAAGAGAGGGCAGAAATGGAGGCAAAGAGACTGGTTTGGAAAGTGGAAGGGGAAACTAAGGTTGGGAATATGATGTTCAGAGGGGGACCTGTAGATGCTGATAAGTTGGTGGTGGAGTTGGCTCCTATGGAGATTCGCACCTTCATCCTGGCTTTCAATTATATCTTCTTCCTGCAGTTGATTAACCCATGATTGCTTTCAATTTGTTGTAATGTTCCTGGCTGGGGAGTAGTTTGAAAAGCTCTCTCTCTCTGTACGTGAGCATGCGTGTGCCTACCACGTCATGAACCTGTGTGCATGAGGATGCGCAACTGTGCTTGAGCGTGAGTTGCTGGCTCATCTATAAGTTTCTGCTTTGCCGGTTCGTGTCCTATAAAATAGGAGAGAAATAGATTGTCATTTGAAGGCGGCCTGAATCTTACCTTTGTTATCAAATTATTAAGAAATAAGGTTGTCATTTGAAGGCCTGAATATTACTTTTGTTATACTCATAAATTCATAATATGATAAAAATGCCTTTAAAATATCAGTAAGTTCCAGAAAATACAAGCATGATATTCAAAAGGTTTCAATGTATTATGTATGCATCTAATTATGCGTTTGTTTGGAATTCTTTTTTTTAAAAAAAATAATTAATAAATAAAAAATAAATAAAATAAATAAATAAATATATATATATATATATATATATATATATATATATATATACTAATATACT